ATTTCGCATATTTAATTCGCTTTTAAATCAAAATCAAAATATTAAAATTAAAATTTGTTTAGAAAACAGGAAAGATTAAAATTTTTTTAATTTAGATATAAATTTCAATTTAATTCTCCAACTAAAATAATTGCAGTAATCGATTTGCGTTTTATACCGTATACGCGATTTATATTGTGAATTATTAAGAGAAAACAATTGTTACAAAAGGTTACAATAGGTATAACAATTAATGTATTCCAGTACTTAATCATAATTTAATCTTAATTTATAAATTAATTGAACATTGAACATGAAATTTTTTCCAGGATCTTGAAAATTTCTTTAGAACATAATAACCGTATATAAATCTTGAATATTATAATAACCGTATAAAAATCAAAATTTGTGATATTTTCACTTGTAAAATAAAAATTGTCAAATTTTCCAAGATTTTAAATTGCGTTTCTATAATTTTGTCTAACCCAATACTTTGTTGCCGATTTAAAACCACTTAAGATAGGGTGGCAGTCACAAGATTTAACCAAAAATCATACATAACATACATGAATTTTAAATAAAAAAATGCATCTTTCAAATATCCTTAATTTATGCATTTATGCTTAGCGTGATCTTTATTTCAAAACCAAAAAAACAGAAAAACAGCCAAGGAAACAGCTACAACAAATCAACTGTAACATTTTATTTATATTAAGTAGAAATTTTAACACTTTTACTTTTTTCAAATCAAATTTTTGCATGAATTTATTAAAAAAACAAAAAATTTGCACGATCTCGATTTTATTTGAAACATAATTTTCACATTTCTTTTTTTTGCTTTAATATTTTTAAAAAACCTCATTATACTTTACAGTTATCATTAAAATGCACTTAAGAAAAAAATAAATATGCAATTTGAACAACAACACAACAACAACAAATTATCATTATCGCGCATAAATTCCACATTAATCGAAGTCACAACAAAAAATTATGAGTTTTGTTGGAATATTTGGTTTTATCCTAAAAATCATGCCGTCTTTAATGATAATTTAATGTACTGATCATTATCATTTGACGTACTGATCAGGAGCGAAGCATTTTTTTAAGTAAATAAAATTGTTAAAATCTTATTGTGAATTAAAATATCTTTGAGCGATACTATAAAATGACAGCTAAAGAATAACAAGCCATCTACGAACATGCATTAAATAATTATTAAAAACAAATTTGTTTTCTTTTCATTAAAAATAAAATGAAAGTATTCACACATAAGTACATATGTATATAATGTATGTCATTTAACTGTCATCAAATTGTAAACGATACTTTTGTCATTTTCATATTATTTGCCATAAAAGAGAGTTAACAAAATGTTTAACTTGTTAATCATTGAAAAATTTTTAATTAAAATTTTTTTTATATAAATTTTTTGTTTAGGTTTTGTTAAAATTAAAATTTCATGGCATACTTTTAAATACTGAAAGATTAATATCACTAATCAATCAAAATTAATTAAGTATGTGTGTTTATGGTATTATTTTTTTTCTTTCAAATTTCATCTTTGACTTTTCTCTTGCGTTACAAATTTTGAATGTATAAAAAATTTGATTTATTTTTGATTAATTTTTAATTGTCCAACTGTTTTTTTTTTCTCTTGCCTCTTTAATAATATTAATTTTATTAATTTAGGCAATTAAAAATTCACGGCATCACTATTAATACTTTTACTTTTTCGTGCGTATATGTCAAACGTTGAATATTCGAAAATTATTTTTCAGAAATGTTTGTGTCTTCTTTTGGAATAAATGTAAAAGTTACATGAAATGTTGAAAAAAATTTTTTGAATTCTTATAATAGCTATTTCTTATTTTAGAGGAGACATATGTAAAGTAGATTTTATTTTTTGGAAATGTTAATGATTTTTTGCTTTGGTAGTGATTTGCAACTGTGTATGTTTAGTAAATGAGTGATAAGACAAGGATAATTCGAAATAAATTAACGTGTATATTTCAATTGACTACAAGTTTTTAAGATTATAATTAGTTTAACAGCTGATTTACAAAATTTTAAATTTTAAAGTATTTTTCAAATGAAATAGTTTTAGAAGTACCGCTAAAAAATGTAGTTCGTATCCATAACTCGAAGGTATTTTATTAATAATTGAACACTTTGCAAAGCAGTTTTAACATTTTTAAAACTTAATCCAAAAATTTGATATTTTGAATATTTTTAATATTTTTTTAAATTACTTTAATTGATCATTAATTTTAAAAGAATTCAGAACTCATTAATTAAAGTTAAAATTATTATTTATTTGGATATTATTGGTATTTGAAGTAAATTATTGGCAATTCAAATAAATAACATCGCAGTTTAATAACTGAACTAACCTAAAAAAAAATGTGAAATGAAATAAAAGAATAATAATGAAAATAATAATTTTTTAAAAATTCCGTTGTCCTACGCAAAACAAAGTTAAATACAAAACTGTCGACACCACTCAACTATGAACACTAAAGTAAAAATACGAAAAAAAAATCAAAGCAATAACGGTCTGTTGACAAACAAAAAATTTTTATTAAAATACGTATTTAATATTTTTTATCTTAAATAATAAAAAAACAGTGAAAGTTTTCAATTAAAAATATAAAAATCTCAAATAAAGTTGAACTCATATTTAAAATAAAATGTCCATTTAAAATGTCCAAAGAACAAACGAAAAAAAAAACAGACTTGTCACAATAATTTAACACCAAAAACGCAATGCACACAAAAAAAAAGAGAATGAATAAAAAACTTGACAACCAAATGACATTTGTACAACAAAAAAATAAATATTATAAAAAGCTAATAACATATCAAATGCCATTTTCAAAATTTCAATTTTTTTCATTTTTTTTTGTTCAGTTCTCTTTGGTTTCATATTGTGTTTCTCTCTTTTTTCAGTAAACATTAAGTAAAGGAAACAAAATAAGAAAAACAAAAACAAAAAAAATGCAAACTAAAATCATCATTGAATCTCATTAATTTTTTTTTTTAAATGTCATTTTAATTGCAAATTTATAGTAAATCAGTGCAAAAAATTGATTGCAACCAGTTGCAATGAAAAAATAAATTGAAATTCAACCAACAATTGCTTTCTACAATACATAAGGGAATTGTAATAAATTTAATAATTTTGAATCTGTTTTACATTAAAAAAAACTCATACAATGAAAAAAGAACCGTTTGATTATTAATAAATAAAAGAAAACAAGAAAAATTAAAAACAGTAAAGTGAAAGAAAAATCAATACACTAATCAAATGTCAAATTTAAAATTATTTGTTTTGATGTTATAAATGTTGCCGTTTTCATATTTTTTTTTCATTGAATTTTCATTAGAAGCAGTGAATATTTGTTTTTTCTTGTCATAAAGAAAATGTATGCTACAATAATTTGTAATTTTATTCGATTGAAACCATCGGCATCGTTGTCGTTCAATGAAATGTCAAAATAATATACAATATAAATAAGAAAAAAAATGTTTAATACACAATTATTTTGCTATCAAAACATTGACGTCAAAATATATTAAAACGGAACATCTATTTTATTTTGCGTATGTGTGGGTATCTCAATAATAATTGCGTCGGCGTTATTGACAGTTTTTTCTTAATTTATTTTTCTCTTCAATTCAACTATGATTACATCAAAATGTCAATAAAAAAAGTTATTAAATTGTATTATATTTGAAAAAGTGCAACAACAAAAACAAAAAAAAAAATAATAATAATATTATTATAATTTATTTTGTAAATAGAAATTATTATTATTATTATTTTTTTGCCTCTTATTTTTTTCTCTCATTGTCCTTCTTATACACAAAATTATCATATCATTTAAGATCGTGATGTACACATGATATAATGTGTTATACATATGCATTTACACAATATATTTATATAATATTATGTATGAACAAGAGATGTTAAAGTTGTTGATGACGTTTGTTGCCTGCCATTTTTAATTATAGATAACAACGGGATTCTATTATACGCAAACAATATATAATATGCAAGTTTATGAACGGTTTACTTGTCAATTTTACATTGCATACATATTTATTATAAAAGTTGTGTATACTTAGTTGCATTGTAGTAATAAAATAATGATGAACTTTTATTGTATAAATTAAATAAAACGGAAATGCGAACGCGTGTATGTAACATATATATACATGCATAAATTATATACATATGTATGTATATAGAGAGGATGTTGTATTGTAAATAAAAGAAAATACTAATTGTCTCTGTTTTGTTTTGGTTACTTTGTAATTTCAATCGTAATAATCTCTAAAAGAGTTTAAGAAAAAAAATTTACTTTATTAAAATCAAAATGACTATATAAAGAGTTTAAGAGAGGAAAAAAAACGAGAAATGTCATCACATAATTTAATATTGTGAATATTGTTATACAAAATAAGTCATTACATATACATACATATATATATACGTTTTGGAACCCATAAAATCACGTTTAAACTGTTTGAACTTCTTATTATTTGTTTTTTTTTGAATATTTAATTTATTAAAAAAAATTTAAACTGTAGGGGTTTACACAATAATCAGTGCAATAATCAATATCAGAGTGTTATAGCGAAAGTGAAATATTTTAATTTTATTTTTACCATTTGAATGAAAGAGATCACAAATAAAATGAAAAATATAACAAGGATGAAGAAAAAAAATGAGTTGAAAAATAATTTTTTTTTTTGTTAATAGATTTTTGAGTTTTAAATCGATCGGGATAGTGTATCGGGATTTAATATTGAAATAAAATAAAGAAATAACAAAAATTTAAAAGAAAAATTGCGAAAATATTTAAGTAGAAACCAAAATAAACCTTCAAAACAAAAAAAAAAAAATAGCGACATAAAATCGCTAAAAAACAAGGAACAAAAAAATTTTTGTAATTCGCGTAATTTTTTTTTTTTTATAAATTTTTTATTTTGATGTTTTGTATTTGAATAACGGTATGGGCGCTCATGGATCTAAAGAGAAACTTTCACGTTCAGCATCTGAACGTTTTATTCATACACAGGTAATTGAACGTGAAAGATTTGGAAGTTTTGGTAAACGAGTAAAAGGTAAGTTTTTTTTTTTCTTAATTTTTTTTTTTAATTTTTTGTTTTCTTCATTGAAAAATAAGAAATAACAAAAAGGAAAAAAAAAATACATTATTATGTATAAAAAAAACAAATCTTATAAATTTTTGTATCAGAATTTCATAACATTGTATATAAATGTACACAATATATGTGTACATACATACATACATACATATTTGTTTACTGGTTTATATACTATGTAAATTCGAAAGCATATAGTAATTTTATTTTAAACAATAAAAGCATTCATTCATATTATTATTATAGCTGGAATGAATTACAAGAGAGACAGCAGCGCATAGCAGAGGTTCTTTATTATTTTATTTTATTATTATTATTTTTTTTTGTTACGAATTTTTTTTTATAGATGCTTGAATTTGGTTATTTAAAAAAAATATTATTTAAATTGTTATAATTTTTAGAATTGCCAATTGCAATGAAATTTTTTATTAAATGCGAATTTAATTGCAAATAATATTGTGCTCAATTTCAAAATATTTATAAGAGAACATATTAAAATTTTGAGTGTCTAATTTTGAGAGCAGATACTCTGCATTGCTATAGTAAAAAAACAACTGTAACCTCTAATAAATATGATGAGAGAAAATATTTGTGTAGCAGAGGAAAATATTTATACTTAAAATTATCTAATCTAATCATCTTTATTGTAACTTTGTTGTGACGTACATTTCGAGAAAATTTGTTAAGAGAATTTTGAAATTGACGTTTGTAATAGTCAGTACTTTCGGGATAGTTGCATTTTATGGATTGGCTTATGATTTCAAAATAATTAATGAAATAGTTTCTGCTTTCAAAGTAAAATATATGAAAAATAAATTTTTTTTTCTTTTTTTAATAGAGAATTAAGAAATCAGTTCTGGTTTAATATCAAATATTATTAAAGTTTAGTCTCCCTTAAAATTCTGAAAGAACACACGAATTGAAGCATGTCAATTGAAGCATGAATTTTAATTTGCATCTTTCTTTGAAGAGTCTTTTCACTTCCATTTCTTTCTTCATCCTACTTTTTACATCCTACTTTTACATACAGGTTATAAAATATGACAAATTGAGTGAATTTCTGAACATAAGTGTAAAAGAGTTAACGGGGTTTCATTTCTTATGTAAGTTTTAAATACATTCAACACTTGAAAATCAACACTTAAAAAAAGTCACATCTGACATGTGTCAAATATGTTTGATGGTCGAATTTCAATGTCATAATTTATTTATTTTTATAATTTCAGCCATCTGGTAAGACTGCAATTTTTTTTTTTTTATTGCGTTAAAGTACCTTTTTTCGGTACTTAAAGATTTAAAATGTTTGAGATTTTTTCTTTCAGATTTTTTAGATCCGAGATTATTATTTTATGCACTTATTTTAAATAATTATATGTTATTATAAAGATTTTTTTTCTGGAAAAAAAAAAACTAATTTTTTTTTTTGGAAATTTTTTATTTTGTTATGATTTTATACATTATAACGGTGCAATTGAAAATTTATGTTATTTTTATGGTAACCTACAGGGCTTATGAATTTATTATAGGGTTTTCATCAAGAGTTGAATAAATTTTATTCATTCTTTTTCTCTCTTTTTTTTTGTTTTTGACTCTTTGATGCATTTTAAGTCTTGTAATTGAGATGTAGTATAAGAGCAGCAACAAGAATTTCATAATTTTGTGTTGAAAAAAAGGGGTGTTCTTTGAAAGGAACTGAAAGCAAATTGAAAGGTTTTTAAATTTTTTGATTTTCTTTTTTGAATTAATTTGATTATATTGCCGCAGGTTGGGTACAAAGAAGGTGTTTTAGCGTTTATAATTCAAATTAATTCAAAATAAATGATTATGTTTATTAAGAGAGAAAGTTTCTCTCTCGTTTTAAATTTGAAAAAAATTTAAACTTTTGTGGATTTTTTTTTTTAATTTCAAAGTTAATTATAACAAAAATTTATTGATTTACGTATGCATTTTATAAATTTTTTTTAATTGAGGGTTCTTGGAAACTATACACGTTTGATTCAAAACGATTATCACAATATTTTAATATAGAAGGTTTGAGTACTTGAAAGAGATTAAATTCTTTGATTTTTCAAATTTAATTGAAATTTAATTTTTTGTTTTGTTAATAAATTGAATAGCTTAAAGAGAGAAAATCAGTGGAATTTTTGTTTGTCTATTATTTTTTAATAAATTTGCAAATTTTAATAATTAAAGAGAATATCGAAATTCTAAATTTAACAATTTTCCCATTTCCAAAATTATTATTCAAAATTATGAGTAACTTTTTGTTTTCCATATTGGATTTTCGGAAAAATGTCCATTAACTTAAAAGTTTTTCCGAAAAAGAAAAATATTGAATGAAAAAGTTTAAATTTTGGATGTATAACGTTTGTACTTTAAAAGCTACTAATTTTTTTAATTGCAATCATAATACCATTATTAATTTGAGAGAATAAGAGTATTACTTTTCGGAGTAATCGGATATAACATTATTTTTGTTCACAATTTTTAACAAAATCTTTAAAAATACAAGCCAATATGAAAACACAAATATTAAGGCAAAAATGTATTCATGCAAATATTTAATAATCAAAAATAAACCAATGTATACCAATTGTTATAAATCAAACACATCCTGGAAATTCATCAAGCCTCCTTTGGAAATTTATACAATCGTCCCCTTGCCATAATAATTTAATTTAAATATTGAACACTATAAAGTACTTTTCAAAATAATCCACAATGTATTGCCACATATTTCGATTTTTACAAGTTCCCGACGTTTAGCATTTAAAAACTATTTTTTTTCCGATAAGACGCGGTTACGCACCTTTGTGCTCTGTAACTTAAACAGTATAATGTTCAAATTTTTAGTAATTCGTAATTCAACCAGATCAAAAAAATTTTGTTATACAATATTCTAAATATTGCAATCAGTTTTTTTCGTAATTCAATTCATATACTTATTAATAAAATTGATAATTAAATTGTTTACGATCTAATTAAGGTATCACGATTTTGGCGAACTATCAAATTAATGAATCATTTATCGTCAAAAATTTTTTTTTCGGAATAATTTGCCCAATAAAACTAAATACATAATAATAAATTCATAATAATAGTCTTCAAATATTTTAAAATAATTATAAAAACTTGAAGGCTACGTACATCGTAAAATAATTAAAATGTTTTCAATCTAATTCATAGCATGAGGTCTATTTTCATATTTACATTCAGCTATGAGACCTCATACCGAGAATTCTACTTTCTAAATGATATTTGCAAAAAAAATTTTTGTGAATTAATACGCATTACATTTTATTAATTAAAATTAAATATTAAAAAATAAATTAAACTAATTTAATAATTAGTTGCCTTCATTACAATAAAATTTAAAATAATAAAAATTATTTTTATATACAAGTGAAAATATTTTTTTATTATGGAGCACATAAATTTTTGTTCACTTATTCATAAATTTAAAAGAGTTCATACTTTCTTAAAGATAAAATTGATCTAGTGTGGAAGATGTTATGCAAAATTTTCAGTGAAAAATCCGGAAACTCCTTTGAATAATTTCCGTCTGGGTGTGTTTGTTTTCAGAAACTTCTATAGTTTTTAAATACAAAGCTGAATTTTAATATACAAAAGAATATTGTCGAGAATTGAAGCAAGCATTTATGCACTAAGTTCCGGAATCTTTGAAATTTCAATTACTTATATAGTGATGTTATAATTATGTATAACGTGGATGCTAAAACGATAAGGAATATCGTAAACGTTATCGTTGTTCAAATTTTTACGAAAATAATTTTGACGATAATTTGTAGCAGCCTAAACTTTAATAGTTTTCATTTAGAAAACAATTATTTTCTGTCCTTCCTTCTTTACGAGTTTTCGCTTTGCGAAATTATTTTCCACTTGGAAGGAAATGTGCTGGTTTACAAATAATCAATGTTTTTTGTCCGAATTTCGTTTTATTTGTTCCGGACTGAAAAACAAAAAAAAAAAATATTTTTTTACAAAATAAAAATTGTCGAACTTTTTTTTTTTTTGTATTGTTCAATTGTAATCAACTCAAGGATGATAAAAAAGGATAATTTTTCTCTGTTATATTGTTGTTATATTTAAAATTTTCAGTTTTTTTCAAAACTGACTAAAGTATACAATAAATTTCCTGACCTTGTCTATAATTTATGTCACTGACGTCAGTCAATAGAGATTTAACATATGAGAAAAAATTAATAACAAAAAAAAAAAAAAAATAATTTAAATGCAACGAGTGCAAAAAAAATTTTTTTTAAGCATGCATGATAAACTTCAAAGTGTTGGCAATAAAATCACTTTGACTGTATAGTATGAAATAAAAAATAAAATAAAAAGTAAATCAGTTAACCGAAAATATAAAGTCAACAAAGTCATCTAAAGGTAGACGCTTATAATTATTTGAATTTAACAATAATTTAATTTGAGGTTTTGGTTGAACTTGCAGTAATGAAAAATTTAAGTCTCTCAGGGCTTAAATTAGTTCACAAAATTTCAATTTCATGGTGAATGCAATGTAAAATGACAAATCTTTTTCTGTCCTGTGAGTGTTTGGCAATTTTCAAATGCATTGAATTTCAATATCAAGTTTAATTTTCAGTAAAGAACTGATACGTGCCGCTTACCTGACCGTTAAAACTTTTATTACCCCTATTTCTAGAATCAATTTTAGTTCCTCAATTATATTCGGTAACGAAACTCTGGCCAGTACATAAGGGACTATTTGGCATATACTAGGGCATTGTTTATTTTCTCCGCAATGAAAATAAAAATGGTTTCACAAAATCCTTATTTTTAACTTAGTATTGAATAGATTCAGTAAGTACACAGGAGCGTAAGGTGGAAAATTTATTCACTGTTAATTATTTTTCTGTTATACAATAGTTCTTGCAGTATTGAGAAAAATAGGCCAGCCAAATATTTTGATGTCTGCG